TTCGGTAGTTTGGTTTTCTTTGTTTACCTTGATATTCTGACCCAGATATATGTATTCTACTACATGTTCCACTTTTGTTCCTTGGATGGTTATCGTCGGTTGATCATCTTTATTCGACATTAGCTTAGTTTTACTCAGATTCATTTTCAGTCCTTTTTTATGGATTCCGTATGAAACTCATCGATCATCGTCTTCAGTTCTTTCCAGCTGTCGGCTATTAGTACTACGTCATCTGCATATCTTAGATGGTCTAAATACTTTCCGTTTATCGATAGTCCCTTCGTTTCCCAATTTAGTGATTTAAAGATGTCTTCAAGTGCGGCAGTAAATAGTTTTGGAGATATGGTGTCTCCCTGTCTTACTCCTCGGTTGATTTTTATTGGCCTCGTTTTCATTTCGTTATCCATCGTGACTACCATTTCAGCGTGTTGATTTATATTATGTATTAATATCCTATATCTAAAATCTATTCTGCTGTTGGCCAGTGCTTCCTCAATAGCCCATAATTCTATGCTGTCAAAAGCTTTCTCGTAGTCTAAATAATATAATATATAATAAAAAATACATTATAATAAAATGAATTGTAATTATTTACAAGGTATTTGAGGTTAATAGGTACGTGATCAATTTGATACAACTAGCTGGATTTTGTGGATGTTAAGACCGCGAACGACGGAAGAAATATACCCAAATACCTGTTAAGTCAACATAGTAACAGTTTTATTATTTCCTTCTGCTAATTTTGCATAACTGTATGAAATGTCGTCAGAGGCTTAATAATTATGCAAGTTTTATAAAATATATATTTACATAGAAAATCCGCTTTATCTCTAACGCTCTTACTATAACAAACATAAAGTTAAAAACGTGCAAAACGAGGCATACTTGATTTTGATTATTTAATAATTCTCGTGACGTTCTTTATCTTCATAAATAAATAAATATAGTTTAAAAATAAAATTTTATATTTATCATTTATATCTTGATTTGCCATTCTTAAAACGAGGGAAGTGTTCATTGGAAAATCATATTATATTGTAAAATATATTACTTTCATGTCAAATATCTAGGCCTTATTTTGGATAAGAAGTTAACTTATAGAAAACACATAGGGTACATGCTTGATAGATGTAACAAAGGCAGCAATTTCCTCAGAATGACAACTAAAACGTGGTGGAGTTGCGATGTAAAAACATCCTTGTTGTTTTATCGCGCTTATATACGATCTATTCTAGATTACGGTTCCCAATGTATTGTTCCGCCTCCATTCCGTGGATCTGACCACAATCAGATGTACATTGAGGTACAGGTTTATGCTGCTGGCTTCTATTTGATTTATGTTTTTTCTGCTTTTGTATCTCTAGAACTTCTAACGATTGGCTACTATTGGTTCCGCTAATAACACTCAACTGTCTTGCTGCCACCTCAGCAGCTCTGCATATTTCCAATCCACGGCTCAGTGTTAAACCTTGTTCTCGTAACAATCTATCCTTTAATGAAACATCTGAGATTCCAAGGATTAGACGATCACGTATTAAACTGTCAGTTAGAGTGTCGAATTCACAGGTACTTGCAAGCTGTCTCAGTTCTGTTACATATGAGTCGTATGTCTCTAGTCCTATCTTGTCTCGAGTGAAAAATAAGTATCGTTCATATGTGACATTTTTGGAAGGTGTAAAGTACTCTTTAAACTTTGTTAGAATAACTTTTCAAGAAGTTTTACTTTCATCTGAAGACCACTCGAAATTGTTATAAATACGAAGAGCCCGGTCACCAATTCGATTCAACAGCACGCTGCCTTGCAAACTCATTAAGCTTGCTGGCTTCTAAAAATATTTTAAATTTTTGTTCGAAAAAGCTCCAATTATCTGCCATATTACCATCAAAACAAAGTTCTGTTACTGGAACAACGTGCTCGTTCATTTTGGAGGTTATGTGAAATTACAATTACATAACAATTTTCAAAATATTACTTATCAATTCTCCTTAGGGTGCGAAGATATCGAAATATGACTGCGCCATATAATATTTGTGTGCTTACTTACTTTATTTTGTATTAATTAATTAATTATTATAAACTGAAATAAAACAAGACATCGTTTTAAGTTGACGGTTGATACACCTGTCCTTTATTTTTCAATAGGCAATTTCTAGCAAATGCCAACATCCAAATGACATCATCATGACAGTAGGTGAATATAAATTAGGGGAGAGCAATGAAAGGGGCGATAGAGTATACCAGTTCTGTCAAGAACATGACATGATAATCGCAAATACATGGTTCAAATTACACAAAAGAAGGTTATACACATGGAGGGGACCAGGAGATAATTCACTACATATGATTAGAAATCAGATAGACTATATTCTGGTAAACAAGAGATTTAAGAATGGCGTCACCAGAGTAACGATATATCCTGGTGCAGATATCGGTGTAGACCATAACCTCGTAATAACTGACATCAAAGTGAAGCTCAAAAAAGTTCAAGAAAGCCCCAAAACACCAAAATTAAATATCTCAATATCCAACAAAACGTTAATAGAAAATGACTTAAACAATGAGCTAAAGAAAGCAATAAATGAAAACAACACAGAAATATGAAACACATTTAAAGATCTTACCTTGAAAGTAATAGAAAAATATTCAACAACGTTACACATGTACAAAAAACAACAATGGATGACTGATGAAATCCTGGAATTAATGGGGCAGAGAAGGAAACTGAAAGATAACAAGACAGAATATAAGGAAAACAAAAACTAATTAAATAAAAAGTAAGGGTGGCTAAAGAAAAATGGATGGAGGATAAATGCAAGGAATTAGAAAAGTTGAATGAAAAACATGAAACGTTAAATATGTTTAAAAATGTTAGAGAAGTAGCTGGTCTTTATCATAAGAAAACTCCACATACTATAACCGATTCGTCGGGAAAAATGATAACAGACGAATATGTAATTCGAACAACCTGGTGTAATTCTATAAGTGAACTGTATAATGATGATAGACCCGAAGAACCGGAGACTTTAGTTGAAGGTGAAAGACTAGAAATACTAAAATCAGAAATACTGCATGCTATAAAGTTAGCAAAGAACAAGAAAGCCATTGGACCTGATAACATACCGACAGAGATGTTAAAGCTTATAAATGAGGAGAACATTGGAATACTGGTCAAACTTTTCAATGATGTTTATTCGACTGGTGATATCCCTGAAGATTGGTTATAGTCCGAATTTATAACACTACCAAAAAAACAACGTCCGAAAAACTGTAGCGATTATAGAATGATAAGCCTTATGAGCCACACTTTGAAAATATTTCCACGCATCATCCACAGTAGAATCAGAGATATATGTGAAGAAGATCAGGATGAAACACAAATTGGCTTCAGAAATGGACTGGCAACTCGGGACGCCCTCTTTGCACTAAATGTATTACTGCAGAAATGTCGAGATCAAAGGAAAGTCGTCTTTGCTGTATTTTTTAACTATGAAAAGGCCTTTGATCGAGTAAAACATCACAAGTTAATTACAATATTAAAAGATAAAGGAGTTGATAGTCAATACATACGATTCATAGAAAAGTTATACTGGCGTTAAACAGCGACAGCTTGCATAAACGGAAAATCAGAAACAGAAATATGTAAAATACAAAGAGGTGTCAGACACGGTTGTATACTATCCCCACTGTTATTTAATTTATATTCAGATAGAATATTTAAAGAAGCGCTGCATAATTTGGAATGGGGCGTGAAAGTTAATGGAATTCTGATAAAAATAATTAGATATGCAGACGATACAGCTATTTTAAGTGATGACATGAATGGATTACAATGCCTTTTAAATGCCATTGATACAGTTGGAAGAGAGTTTGGCCTAAACATAAACTGTGCAAAAACAAAACACATAGTGTTTAGCCGTTTAGCACATCAAGATGCACGATTATATGTTGTTGGTAATATAATTCAAAGAGTGTCCAGTTTTAAATATCTTGGTTGCCATATTACTGAACAACTAGATCCAGATCAAGAGATAAAATTTAGAATCGAGCTAGCCCGCACGACATTTTTAAAAATGAGGTCATTTTTCTGTAATGATAACTTGTAACTTCAACTTCGAAAGCGCATGGTTAAATGCTACATTTGGTCAGTCCTCTTATACGGTGTCGAAGCATGGACATTAAAAATATCCACCATTAATCGTCTGGAGGCCTTTGAAATGTGGCTGCACAGACGTATACTAAAAATTCCATGGACGGCTATGCTGACAAATGTGGCAGTCCTTGAGAGAGCAAATGCTGCTCGCGAGCTGCTTGATAACATCAAATGTAGAAAGATGGCCTATTTTGGACACGTAGTAAGGGAGACCGATATAATATTCTTCAACTTATTATGATGGGTAAAATCGAAGGACGCAGAGGAATTGGTAGAAAGCAGGCCTCTTGATTGAAGAATATCAGGGAGTGGACAGGAATAAAGAAAGCTGAGCAACTATTTAGAATAGCTCGAGACAGAGACAGTTTCGCCATGTTAATCGCCAAGGTCAAGGGGACTTGATAGGGCACGTTAAGAAAAAGAAGCGATGTGACGTTTATACCGTTACAATTATATTGATTTTGTACCAATAAATTTGCAAATGAACACAATAGATTTGCAAATCAAAATCGATAGACATTTATAAATGCGATGCTGAGAATTTATACATCTGACATGAAACTAAACTTTAAAAAACTTTTCAAGTTAAGACTTGAGTTTAAGACTTTGATTTTACTTAGTACGACCTTAAAACAATCTAAAAAAAATTTTTTTGTTAAAAAGGGGGCATCAATACAATAAAATATTTGTAGCCCATCTATAAGAAAATTCGCCGACCAGTAACAGCATCATTATTTTCATTGCATTTAAATTATGTTCTTGGTCTAATTTTAATCTTATTTTGATTAAATTCAGTAGCTTATAAAACCAACGAAGAATAATTTAATAATCTTCATATTTTATTTTTAGCATTACTAGCTTTTTTGGTTGGTGGAGCCTCGATAGTATGGATGTCTCCTGCGGTACTTAAATTAAAATCTAATGACACCAGTATAAATCCCTTAGGCAAACCCATTACAACGTACGAACTATCCAAATTTGTAGGCTTAGAAGGGGTTGTATCGATAATTGGTTCATTAATTTTACCAAAACTAGCAGATGTAATCGGACGAAAAAAGACATTGTGGATAATGGCATTTGTTATATGTTTAGGAACTACTGGACTGGCTTTTAGTACAAACATCAATTTTATGATTATGTTTTCGTCGACATCTGATATTGGTTTTGGAGCAATTATGAGCGTTTTACCAATGTATTTAACAGAAATATGTGAAGATCATAATCGCACAAAATATGGTTGCCTCATGTCAGCTTTTATACCCATTGGACAACTGTATGCTTATATTATTGGTCCATTATGTAGTTATAAAGTTTTTACCCTGTTGACTGCAGCTCCCTTGATTCCTTTTCTGGTTCTCTTCTTTTTTGTTCCTGAAAGTCCAGTGTATTCTTTAGACAAAGGAAGAAAAGAAGAGTGTTTACAAACATTAAAAAAATTGCGACATAATAAAACAGAAAAAGAACTACAGTCAGATTTTAGCAAACTAAGAAAAGATACAGAAGCAACCACAACTACAACGAACGAAATAAACATCATAAAAAAACTATTTTTAACAAAGCAAGGGCGTGTTGGAATGCTATTGTCTTTATTACCACTTTTTGTTCAATATTTTTCTGGGGTTCCCATTATGATGATGCTTATGGCACCTATATTTAATGAATCTGGTTCAAACTTATCAGGTAGTACAATTGCTATCTTTGTAGGAGTTCTAAAAATATTTCTCTTTGTCAGTACATCATTGATTGTAGAGAGATTTGGAAGGCGATCTCTGTTAATAGTTTCAGCTAGCGGAGCAGCAATACCCGTATCTCTTCTTGGAGTATTTTTCTATTTAAAACACATTAACTCACCTTTAGTACCTCTATATCCTTGGGTACCACTGGTCTGCGTTTTGACGTATATTTCATTTTACTCAATTGGACTTGGACCAATACCAATAACTGTAATGGGCGAAATGTTTTCTTCTGATATTCGATCAACTGGTTGTGCTCTCGTTACTACTTTTTCATCGGTGGCTGTTACTATGTATATCGCTGCTTATCCTATCGTGGCAGAGTTGATGGGAATTCATTGGTGTATGTGGACATTTGGAACTTGCTGTTTTGGAGGTGCATTATTAATTTACTTTTTATTGCCCGAAACTAAAGGTAAAAGTGTAGTTGAAATACAAGAAATTCTCACGAATTATTAATATATTGGATATTTTAATAAATATTTCGAAAATTATAATTGTTTGTTTTATGTTCGTTTAAGGAAATTATTATTTACATTTATTATAAAAATTATCTTTTGATTAAGGTTTTAAAACTACTTTTTTGTGGCATTATTAAGTTAAATATATTTTTTAAGGGATTAAGCCATAATTATTTGTTATGACTGTAATGAAAATCACATTTTTAATTGACTAATATTGGCGTTTCCATTTGCACTCCGGAAATAGTTCTCAACAAAGGTTTTTTTTGTACGAATTATTTAGGAGAAATTTTGTTATTGGTTATGTCATTTAAAGTTGGCACGTCTGACCTAGATCATGTAGGTTAAAGCATAGGTTTTATGTAAATGTCACAGTATCTTAAGGGTAGCAATTAAACTCATTAGTGTAAATTTGCTGTATTTGGTGGGCCTTACTTTATTTGGTAATGTTATAAATAGTGCCCAAACAGATTATAGATTGGTCACCACATGGAAAGAGAAAAAGAGGCCGACCCACAAAGAGCTGGAGAGAATGAATAGACAGAGAGATCCGAGAGAGAGGTTTAGACGAAGATCTTTGGGAAGATAGAGATGCATGGAGATTGGGCATCGGAAGACGTCGGAGGACGTTTTAAAACCGATTATATATATAAATATATATATATATATATATACATATATATATATATATATATATATATATATATATATATATATATAATATATATATATATATATATATATATAAATAGTGACTCCAACCAATCATCTGGTATTATTTCTTTGTTTTAAATTGGTTAAATAGGTAATGTTTTCCTCATTCAAAAGTTTAAGTCTTTAAGTAGCTCAGACGGGTTTGATTGATTTTCTGATTTCTAATTTCGGTATACTGTACCTCTGCCTAACTGGTTATCACATGTATGATGTAAATGTGTAATATTTTCTCGAGATCCATCGTTGAAAAGGTCATTGATGTATTGCTCCCATTCTTTTTGCACTCTTGTTCGTGATTACAAGTTATCTTTAATGGATACCAAATCTTAAATAAAATATTAAATTAATTTTTAACCTCTTGTGGAGGTTAAAACAGTGGTGTTTCTTTTGCAGGACTGCTTTTTCTGTACATAAATTCTCGAGCCAAAATTGTTTGGCTAATTTTTCTTTTTTTTATAGTTTTACGGTATTTGTTAATATTTTAACAATACAAAACACAATTCAGACAACAGGTATACAACCACTATAAATGAATCCAAAATCCAACCAATACTTTGGTCGTACATCATTCGACAGAATTGTTTCGATTCTTATTTTCTAAAGGTAACAATAATAGACAAATGTAGAAATAAACATTGACAAGGAAGAACTACAGGAAGCATTAAGGAAATTAAAAAATAGAAAGGTAAAGGACCGGACCCAACATATGTACTAAATATATCTTATAAAACTCTAGCTTTAATTACTATTAAAAATATCTTGATATAACTGCTTTTAATATGTGTGTTAAACTTTCCTGCCAGACTTTATCGAAGGCCTAAATTACATCCAGAGGGAGGATTAAACAAATTTTCTTTCCTTTTAGTAATTTTTCAATAGGGTTTTTTATTATATGTACTTTTTCAATTATTGTACTGTTTTTTTTACAGATTTAAATTAATATCAAATGATCCGAATCGAACAATCTAAAATGCTGGATACATTAAACTTCCGACTCAAAATAAGAAGTTAAATGTAGAATAGAAGAGGTCAAACAAGCATTTCTGAAAATGAAACAGTATTCCCCAGTATTCCCGAGATCTTGATCTAACTCTACGATGTTAACTGTTAAAATGCTATATACATAGTATCCTACTACATGGTATGGAAATCTTGACGATAAAAGACATCTAAATGAGGTTACTAATTGTAAAGTGATAGAGGGTGAGTGTGTAGCTAGTCAAAACAGACCGGTGATAGTGTATATGCATATAGAGGTGAGGTAAAAAGAAAAAAATTAAGACTTAATAAAGTATAATTAGCATCATCTTTATCTCAAAAATCCTCTGTGGATCCTGGCCAGCTCTCTAAGATTCGTCGCTATTCTGTTCGGCTTCTGGAAACGTATTGCCATCTTCTCATCTTTGATATCCGTAAGTTGGTCTCAACTCCATCCAAATACCTGATTCACTTTAGGCATTTGCTTCTTTTTTTTATAGTTGTTTCTGTCTTTTTAGCAATAATATTGACTGACGTGAGTCAGAATAACAGTGTGGATCGAAGAGTCTTGAGATACTATGTTGAAATAAAGCAAAGCTGGCACTTCAGAACGTTACTAACTGAAGAACACTATAGGAAGACAGAGGATGTGGGACTATAAATGAGAATGTAATACTGGGGATAACGAGAGATGAGGTTATCAAAGCCTTAAATAGTATAGTAAATAAATGTTAAGGTAGTAATACTTGATGGAATATTTTTGTAAATTCAAAAGGCTTTACGAGAGAAAGCAGTTAATATTTTGTAGCAAATAAGTAAAATTTCTGAGGAAGAAAGAATGATCAATTCATGGAGGGAGAGCGTAAGGGTATGAGCATATAAAAAAAAGAAATGTAGAGCCAGGGCTAAGGTAAGAGTTATTGATAAAAAAAGAACCGTTTATGTTTATGCTGGAAAAGACAACGGATAGCTTGTTTGCATTGAGATAGTTGATAGATAAATCAATATCAGGGAGAAGTATGTTGGATGGGGAGAGAAGCGAAAACATAAAAAGAGCATGCAATCATCATCATCATCTTGGTGCTACAGCCCTTAGAGGGCCTCGACCTTCTCAAGCTTTCTACGCCATTCTGTTCTGTCCCTTGCTTGAATTTTCCAGTTGCCGAATCCGATCTTCTCCGCATCTTGTGTTACCCCATCCATCCACCTCAGCTTTGGTCTACCCTGTCGTCTCATTCCCACAGGTTGCGCTGTTAGAATCTTTTTTAGCATGTTCGATTCAGGGGCCCGGGCTACATGTCCTGCCTACTGCAGGGGTTTCGCTTAATTATAGTGGTAATATCTTTACCACCAAACGTATGCTTGTAGATATTCTGCAGTTCGAAGTTATATCTACGCCTCCATATTCCGTTCTTACAGACCGCTCCAAATATCTTGCGTAGCACCTTTCTTTCAAAAATGGATAGAGCGGATTCATCTGTTTTCGTTAGCGTCTATACAGCCTTACACGAGTTTTTTGAGACAGACGTTTGTTAGCTAAGTACTTTGATAGACCATAATAACACCTGTTTGCAATTATTATTCGCCTTTTTATTTCCTCAGATGTATTATTATTGGGGTTAACCGATGTGCCTAGATATAAGAGCTCATTGAAAGCTTCGAAGTTTTGGTCATTGATGATTAAATTTGTGTCAACATTTCCAGCTCTTGTGTTTGTGTTAGTCGCCATGAATTTGGTTTTATTTTGATTTATATGTAACCCCATTCGTTCTGCTGCTGCTACTAGCTCGGTTAGGATTTCCGCAGTTCTCGCCCTAGTTCTTGTTATAATGTCCACGTCGTCTGCATATGCTAGAATTTGGACTGATCTATTAAATATTGTTTCCCTGCTATCTAAATTAGCGTCTCGTACAACTTTTTCTAAGGCGACATTAAAAAGCTGACACGCCAGCGAATCTCCCTGCCCTAACCCCCCATGTATTTGAAATGGGGTTGACGAGTTGATTTTTTGGAATTCCATAACTCATTATCATATGCGTTCTAAAGACTTGGTCTTAAGACACTGTCATATGCCGCTTTAAAATCGACAAAAATATGATACATATCTATGTTAAACTCTTGCGCTTTTTCGAGGATCTGTCGTAGTGTAAAGATCTGGTTAATGGTTGAACGTCCAGGCCTGAATCCTGCCTGATATTCCCCTAGAAACATTTCAGTATAAGGCTTTAATCTCTCGTGCAAAATATTTGATAATATCTTGTATGTTGTATTTAGGAGAGTTATTCCGCGGTAATTATTGCATTCCAGTTGGTTTCCCTTTTTGTGTAACGGGCAAATTAAGCCTAAGCTCCATTCTTCTGGCATTTGCTCCTCAGATCAAATTCTACAAACAATTTCTCGCATCACCTTGGTGAGCTGCTCTCCACCGTGCTTAAATAACTCTGCTGGGATGCCATCGCTACCTGGGGACCTATGGTTCCTTAGTTTTTCTATAGATGTTTTTACTTCATCTACCGAGGGGGGTTCCACGAGTTCCTCATTTCGGTATTCCAGCTCTATATTGTTAGTAGGTTCCCCTTCCAGCAAATCTCGAAAGTGCTCTACCCATCGTAAAAGGATGTCCTCTTTGTTGGTAAGTAAGTTGCCTTTCTTATCATTACAATAGTTGATTCTTGGTTTGAATTCTTTTTAATACTATTTATTTGATTAATTCATATTTATAACTGGGAATAAGCTACAATTAAAGATAAAAATACGTTTATTGACGTTTCAATTTCCAATTCGAAAATCGTTCTCAAAATACAAACAGTAAATTAAACAAATTTTGTTTTTTGTTACATAGTGAAAAATTCTTCTAATAATTTAATTTTATCTGACTCATTTATATTGACAATTCAGACATACATTATGCATTTTAAAGTAGACGACTTTAAAATGATATTGCCAATATTGTTGAGTTGCGGTCCTGGGACGACTTTACTTATAAGATAGATCATTCGATTACATGAATCAACTTTAACTTGAGAATCAACTTTAACTTGAGAACTTGAGAATTATATTTTACTTGTCTAGTGCCCTTTCTTTCTTGGCATTGGAAATTCTTTGTCGTAACTTGGCCCCTACCATAAAATGATCTGAGTCAATATTTGCTCCTCTGTAACTTCTTACGTCCATTAGGTTTGTAAAGTGCCTTCTGTCAATTATAACATGGTCGATTTGATTTGTGGTGTGTCCATTTGGTGATATCCAAGTGGCTTTATGGATATTCTTGTGATTAAAACATGTACTTCCCACAATTAAATCTTTGGAAGCTGCCAGACTAATAAGCCTTAAACCATTGTCATTAGTAACGTCGTGAAGGCTATGTTTACCAATATAATCTTGGTAGCATATCTCTTTTCCTATCTGGGCGTTCATGTCTCCAATGATTATTTTAATGTCGTTTTTTTGGCACAGTTATCATATGCTCTTTCGAGATCTTCGTAAAATAGATCTTTAATTTCTTCGTATTTTTCCTCGGTTGGCGCGTGCACGTTGATCAGGCATATGTTGAAAAATTTTCCTTTTATTCGAAGGATGCATAACCGATCATTTATGGCTTTAAAACCAATAATAAAATTTTTGATTCTCTTTGATACTAGGAACGCGGTTCCGAACTCATGTCGGTTCGGGTTGCAGCTGTAATATATATCATGTTCTTTTTTCTGCAAAATGCCGGTTCCTGTCCATCTCATCTCTTGAATGGCTGCAATGTCTATTCTATATTTTAGGAGTTGATCTTGCAGCAGCTTCAGTCCCGCTGTCCTATACAGCGTTCTTACATTCCAAGTACTGATCTTTAAATCATTGTCCTTAGTTCGGTGCGTGGGTCGTCGTCTTGAATTCAGTCCGGCTTTTCTATCTCGAGATTTCGTAACAATAGGTTTTTATGGGATGAGGGAGTTAGCCTCATGCCCAACCCCCTTTCCGGAGGACCATTTCTCCCTTCCTCGTCAGCCCTGACCCTACCCTCCACTGAGGTTGGTTACCCAGTCTCCAGTAGGGTTGCTCAGGTTTACCGGGGTTCACCCGTGTGATCCGGATCACACTTCTCGGAGGTGAGGATAGGAATTGAGTAGGAGAGGCTAGAGGTGTTATCTGGAAGCAACACCTTATGATGCGCATCACTACTCCATTAAAACCCCAAAAGAGCACGCAATATAGAATATATAAATGGATGGATGACAAAACGAAAACAGGAGTGAAACGAACATATCAGTAGAATGGCAGAGGATAGAATAGTACGAATAGCACGAGATAAGTCACCAAATGGACGAAGAACCATTGGCAGACCAAGAAAAATATAGTGCGACAATTTAAAACAATTTAGGAGGCTAATATTGAAGAAGAAATAGGCTTTAAAGCTTACATACTAGATGGAAGAAGATAGATAAATACGAAGAAAAAACAGAGAACTACATTTGACATTCATAGATCTTAAAAAGGCCTACGACTCATCTCTGAGATAAGAGCTCTAGAGATGACTAAAAGAGAAATGAGTTTCTGATAAATATGTAGAATTAAGTGGTAAGGAATATATAAGGAAACGTACAACAAAGTAAGGACTTCCGTCGGTATCACTGAGTTTTCAAGTGATGATTGGTTTGTATTAAGGATTTTCATTAAGTCCGTACCTGTTTATTCTTATTATGGATGAACAGACAGAGAAGGTAAGGGGGGCTCTTTGGTTATTAATATTTGCAGATAATAACGTATTAGCCGAGAATAGCAATGTTGGAGGAGAAGTTAGAGGATTGGAGAAGAACTATTAAAAAGGGAGTGTTGGTGTACGGTGGTGAAGTGTATCTTTTAAAGTGGATCCAAGAATAAAAAATGGCGCTGAAATGAAAATGTTACGGATCAGGAATTGATTAGGGAAAGAGCCGGGAATACTACAGTCTCAAAAAAAGTTCAACAAAAAAGATTGCAATAGTTCAGTTACATCAGATCTAAAAATGAAAACTGTATGGAATAAAGTAATGAGTCAGTCGAAGTTAAGGAGATAAGAGATAGAGGAAAACCGAGAACCAGATGGAGACTGTGTGATAGTGTAATTAAAACGTAACGATTTAAAAAAAGAAGATATGATAAACAGAAATAATTTACTAAGAAAATTAAGGAACAGAGACCACTGAAAAGGAAAAATCAAAGAAGGAGAAGAAAAATAAGATTAGTCATAACTCACGCAGATGAAAATCTATATAACCACTTGTTTAATATTGCCCTATTAATATATAATTTCATTTGCTACATTAAAACATATTCAAGATTCAATAAAATGATAATCATCCTAATACTTTTTGTATTAACTATGAAAAGCATAAAATATCAATTGTTAAATATTTTATCAGATTAGGGTGTATCAGCGTTTTGGGTAAATGTTGACTTTTTGTTAAAAACAAAAGTTTTAAAACTAAGTTGCGCATAAATTTGAATTGTTCTAGTCCAGTTAATCCTACTTAAACAAGTCATATAAAATGTGTTTTTCATTTTAAGCAAATTAGTGTTACGAATCAGATCCCAATGAAGAAATAAATTACGTTTTTTTATTAAAAAATACAAAAAAAATGATGACAAATAGTGAAACTAGCGGTACTGGAAACCAAAAAAATATTTTGCAAGAAGTGAAGTACATTCCAACTGGATCAGAAAAAGATGAACCTTTTCAACCAGAAGATGAAATTAAAAGATCTGATACTTTTTTTCTACAATTTACAGTCATGACAGGTAGGATAAGGCTAACTGTCTTTTTTTGTTTTAACTCGACTGTTTTCATTTGGGTTTATAAAATTTCTTTAGTCCCAAATGAGTATTTACACCAATGTGTACAACAAAATTATTGTATTCAGTAGAATATGCAGATATCTATATAAGAAAAAAACAGTGTGTTAGATTATTTGGATTTTTTTTCTGTGAAAAATGTTTAAATATGTTTAAATTCATGCCGTGTGAATTTAAATGATTGCATATATACATATATATATATATATATATATATATATATATATATATATATATATATATATAAATTATATAATATATATATATATATATATAATATATATATATATATATATATCGGTTTTAAAACGTTCTCCTACGTCTTCCGATGCCTAGTCGCCATTCACTTCGGTCCATCCAAAGGTCTTCATCTAATTCTCTTTCTCTCATACTTCGATTTATGCCTTCTCTCCAACTAAGGCGGGGTCTTCCTCTTTTTCGTCTACCATGAGGGGTCCACGTTAGGATTTGTTTCGGGAGTCGTTCTTCGGACATTCTTTGTACGTGTCCATACCATCTAAGCTGTTTGGTACTAATGTCATCTACTATTGTGTGTTTCACATTCATTATTTCCCTAATTCTGTTGTTGGTTACCCTTTCTAATCTTGATTTTCCTGCTGAGCGCCTCCAGAAATCCATTTCTGTTGCTTCAAGTTTTCTCTTGTATCTTTCTTTTATTTGCCATACTTCACTGCTGTAAGTGATTATACTCTTAACAATTGTATTTATATTCTATGTTTGTTGTTGTTTGATATTGCCTGGTCCCACAGTATGCTATTGAGAAGGGTAATTGCTTTCTTCCTGGTTTTTCTTCTCTATCGTCCGGTCTACGTTTCCTTCTTGTGTGATGGTCATACCCAGGTATTTATATGCGTCGCAATGTTTAATAATTTCGCCATTCCCCAGTGTAAGGTCCTGCTGTGTCCCACCGATACACATATATTCGGTCTTTTTTATGTTTATTTCCAAACCACCTTTTTTGTACTCCTCTATTAATTTCCTTGTCATATATTCTATATCATCGTAGTCTTGCGCTAGTACAAGTTGGTCGTCTGCAAATGACAAAGTGTATATTGTATTGTTGTTGATCGGTAATCCCATGTTTTTGCATTTGCGTTTCCAAAGTTATAGAGTTTGCTCGAGGTAGATCTTAAATAATGTCGGTGAAAGGCAGCACCCTTGTTTTAGGCCTTTGCTAATTTGGAATCCTCTCGATAGTCCGCTTCCAACTTTCACCCTTGCTGCAGTTTTGGTATACAATTGTTTCGTCGCTGTTATTAAATTTGCGCTTATATTGGTTTTCTCTAATGCTTCCCATAGTTTGTTTTGTGGATGCTATCATACGCTTTTCTCAAGTCCACATATAACAGATGCACCTTCTGGTTGACGGCCAGTTTCTTCTAATTAATCTGTGTAATACAAAACAGATGGTCTACCGTTGATCTCCCTGCCCGGAATCCTGCCTGTTCTTCAGCTTCTATATCTTTATATTCGTTTTCGATTTTATTTTTAATCAGTTTTCCGTATATTCGGCTGATCGAGTTCGTTACAGCGATGCCTCTGTAATTGTCACATTGATCCCGTCTGCCTTTTTTATGTATGGTGGATATCCATGATGTCTTCCATTCTTCTGGGATTTCCGCTCCTTTGATGTATCTTTAAAGAGTTTAGCCAGGTTTTCATATAATTTTGTTGTGCCATATTTTATTAGTTCAGCTGGTATGTTCCCTGGTGCTGGTGCTTTGTTATTTTTTAAAGACTTACATACTTCTTCTACTTCTTTTGTTGTTATTCGTAATGGTGAGGCTATTTACGTTGCTGGTATCACTGTTATTTAAAAATTCCGCTCTGTCCTCTACTTTGACTAACCTCCTTTGGTATGAAAAATATGTTTTGTCAGAAAATTCTTTTATTTTATTTGATACAGTTTCCTATCACCTCAAAACACCGATTCTAGCGTTACTTCAACTTGTTTATCTCATTCGCATTACACTATTCTGGAATACTGTAAAATAGGCGTTTGTTTCATCAATCATAAAATATCTTTGTTTATGCTGAGATTTTTATTTACGAGCCACCTCTTCAGATTTGGGAACACGTAATCGGAGCGGCTAAACCAGAAGAAAAACGTGGGGAGAAAGCAATTCGAAGCATAAAATTAGTGTTACGAATCAGATCCCAATGAGAAATTAAATTACATTTCAAAAGAAATACATTTTTCTTCTGAATATGGAATTCCTGCTTCAATTTTTTTGTAATGCACAATAATATTGCCGACTAATTGTATCTTTTTCTAGATAAACAATTTTAATTAAACCTTTACAATATCAAAATAGAGTGACCATAAACTTTCCTACTGTCCTACTTGTCCTATTTTCACTGACACGCATTCTTTCTATTCTCTGCTATGTAGTTGTGAATTCATTAAATGAGGGGTCCGGCAGTAAAAAATGGTAAGGGACAATAAAGAAGATTTGAGTTTTGAAGTGTTGAATTTAAAAAAAAAATATTGTTATATTTTTTATTAAAAAATATAAAACTATGAATAATGCTAAAATTAGCTGATTATGTTGTTAATCAGGAGGCAAAATATGAAATACCAAATATTTTTTTTACAATGTTTATTGAGGAAAATATGAAAATATGTACTACAACTTAACATTATTTACCTAAAATATTTGAAAAATTTAACGTAACATGTTAAGTGGTGTTGACTTAACATAACATAATTTGGTAGGTACTAGGAGGTTATTTTAAATTTATATACCATTCGTGATAAACAGCTGGAATCCATTCCAAGAATGATTTTACATCTTTCAGTTTTTCTGAATGAATACTAAGGGGATGATTATATTTTTGAGTAAGTGTAGGAAATTTTTCTTCTGTAGCTGTTGGTCTTCCTCTTTTATTCAAGGACATGGAATTAAATAATCCGTTGTATGATGCTGAATATTGTATATTTCTGGGAACTTCTGAAGATAGACATAATTTCACACTACTTTGTAAAATACCTACCGGTTGATTAAAATAGCTTTTCAGTACTGAACAATCGTATATATCCTCTTGCTGGACCCTAGTTACTAGAAAAGGTTTCTTTTTCTGACACTTCTTCAAAATATCTTCCCAGTGATTGGGCGAATATACCATTTCACAGTTTTTCTTGACATAATTTTCTACAACAGAAAAGTCTCTGTCGCTTGGCAACATTGTATGTCCTACCTGAGGAAATATATGAACTATTTCTTTAAAATAGTCATTTTGTAAAAGATATAGCCAAAGACCAATGATGGTCCAGTTTTTATTTTGTCCGCAGCAATTGTCTGAAATAGCTATTAGTTTTCTGCCATGAATATTATTTTTCTCAAAGTACATTTTGAGACAGCTAGCTATTTCGTCCGACCCTCTTTTAGCAGTGGATTCATCCCACATAAAAAAGTGACCCTGACCATCTCCAAGGGAATGTATGCTTAAATTATAGCACCATAATTTTCTCTTATAGAACATGGGACCAGTGGTAAGCTTTGGTGTGGGAAGGGTTTGCTGTAGATCAAAACTAATTGCATGCACATCTGGGTTTAAGTTTGCTTCCTCTACTGCGTCTCTGACTGCCTGTTGACCTGCTTCAGCTTTTCTGTGATGTAATTCTTGTTCAGTTTTAATTTTTTTAACCTCAGTTTCATCATTGTGTAACTTAGCATTTTCTAAAGCTACTGAAAACTTATCGCATGCTTGACATGTATCCATTTTCGGAGTTTTGAAACTTATATTATATTCTTCAGTAAATATTCTTCTGAATTTATCTGCAGAAACTGGAGTTATCTTTTTCAAAATGCATTCTCCTACATATTTCTCATAACAAGTCTGAATAGAATATTCCATACTCATATATTGTCTAGAACTGTCAGCACGGGTGTAATGGCTTTTGTACTTAGGTAAGCTTTCAATAAAAGATTTCAGAAAATCTATATCAGAATTGGAATATTTTTTAGGATGATTTGAATGTCGACCTCTTAGATCTGATTTTGGAGTATTTGATCCAGTTTTTAATTGTTTTACTAGATTTTCAACTCGACCTCGATTTTTCTGTAAGCCATGGATACTTAGGAAAGCCATTTTGCATATCTTAACATCTTTCCCTTGTGATTTTAATTTATATTCAATAGTTTGAGATCTTTTTGACACTAGTGCTTTAGTTTTCTTCCTAGTCACATTTTTAGATCTCATACAACCTTGTAAGTAAGCATTTTGTGTATCAAAACTGTTCATGCCCCAAAAATTAACAAAAATTGTCTGTAGTTCTTCATGAGAAGCAAATAACTCATAGCATTTATTGGGGCAACTACACGGTGGACCTTGTGTTTTTGATAAAACAATATTTCCCTTACCTCTGTATTGTTTATATTCTTTTCCGCGATTTCTGAGCTCTTTTGTTTTTAATTGCTTACTTAAATTGCGTTTCCTTTTTCTAGATTTTGTGTCTGAAACAGAATATTCTTTTTCTTGTTTACTGTGTTCATTTAATTCTCCTCTATTTTCTTTTTCTTCCTCCTCTTCTTCTTCAGTACTGGACTCTGGGTATGTGTGAGAAGAAATTTCTTGAAGTCCATGTTCTTTCAAAAGTTTTCTAAAACATAAATAAAAATAATATTAAGTATTATAGTGCTGCAGAGAATTCATTTTCATATTTGCAAGTAAAAAATGTTAAGTTTTTATGCAAAGTGAATGTGGATGTAAACAATGTTAAGTACATCCTTTACCATTTTTTACTTGCAAACAATGATTCTAAGAATATAAATAAATTACCTTCTTTGTAGAAAGTTAATCGAGCTAGCTTCACTAAATATTTGAAATTCAGGATCTTTATCTGAGTCGTAATCATCATAGCTCTCAGAATTGTCACTATTAACATCAAAAAAGTCATTTAGATTTGAACAACCTGCTTTGTA